TGGGCATATCGCACTGCTTATAAGACCTCTTTAGGAATGTCTCCTTATAGGCTAGTTTATGGAAAGCCTTGTCATCTCCCTGTTGAGATTGAGCACCGTGCATATTGGGCCATTCGGCAATTCAATGACAATGAAAATGAGGTTGGCAAAAATAGAAAGCTTCAATTGGATGAATTAGAGGAGCTAAGAAATGATGCATTTGAAAATGCAAAAATTTCAAAACATAAGATGAAAACTTTGCATGATAAACATATTCTTAGAAAATCCTTTCATGTTGGTCAAAAGGTTCTCTTGTATAATTCACGATTACATCTCTTTCCTGGGAAGTTGAGGACAAAATGGATTGGTCCATTTGTGATTAAATCCATCTCTGAGCATGGTGCATTTGAGGTAGAAAATCCCAAGAATGGAAATATTTTCAAAGTAAATGGTCATCGATTGAAACTTTATCTTGAAAATGTTGTGGCTGAAGTTGAGACATTGGATCTTGAAGATCCAATACCATTGTAGTATCAAAAGTAATGAGTTTTTATTTTTATTTTTATTTTCATTTTCATTTTTTTCTTCTTTCTTCCATCTCTTATATTTTCTTGTTCATGCATTCGGGACAATGCATTATTTTAAGTTGGGGGGTGTGAGGTTCTTTATTTTCAAAAAAAAAAAACATCAATGTTTTCTTTTAGTTGTGATATGCAGGTTAAAAAAAAATCAAGCAAGAAGTCAGCTCATGCCCAATTCAATCAGACATTCATCCTTGAAAACAGAAGGGGAGTAACAATTTTCTAATCTTTATACTTTTCTTCTCTTTCTCTTTTACATTGAGGATAATGTAAAACTTAATTTTAGATATTTCATTATGTTGAATGCTTGAGATAACCATGCTTGTTAAAAAAAAAAAAATACTTGCATTGGTATGTGAATGAGACTTGTTTAGGATCATCATTACCTTTTTGGGTTCATTATTGTGTTGAACATTGCATGCTTTAATTTGGGATAGATAATATCTTATAAAGCAAGATATAGCATACTTTTTTTTAAGATTACTGAAGTACATCTTTCCTTGTAAAAGTTGTGTGAGTTGTGTGAATATGCATGAAAGATGAGTATGATGCTTTACTTGTGATTATCCCTTTTGATCTAGTCCTAAACAAGGTTTAAGTAAATAGAGTAATAATCATTACATAAATAAATAAATAAATAAATGTGTACAAAGTTCTATCTACTCCAATGTTTTGAGTTGCTCAGTAACTAGGGGTATTCATCACAAATGTTTATCTTTACGTCAAACGGCAGCTTGAAATATGAGTATGCAAAGCACTTTAAGTTTGTGACTTTGTGAGTAACCGGGTGCATTCATCACAAATGTTTGTATTCGCGTCAAAAGGGAAGTGACTACTTAAAGACAAAAAATAAATCATATCTTCAAAAAAAAAAAAAACAAAGAAAGAAAAAAAGAAAGAAAAAAAATATATAGATATTTCTCTAGTTTGCTACCTTGTTTGTGTTGGTGAGAAGGGAAGATTACAAGTTGAGTTTTCGTATGAATCAATTATGTTGGTTGCACGATAAATATGACTGAATTTGGAAATTTTGTATGGATGTTTGATTTAGAGAATGTGAGTATGCTTATTTTTCTTTATTTGCTATTGTGTACACTAAGTTAAAGATACCAATGTTTGCATGATAGGTCCTTCAAGTGTGATGAATCGAGCCTAATTATGATTGTTATTATTCTTTTTATTTCAAAGGTTTTATGTTTTGTTTTGCTTGAGGACTAGCAAAATCTAAGTTGGGGGGTGTGATTGTGCATCAAAAGTGTCATTAAGTCTCTTATTTTACATATGTATTTATTGTTTTTATTTGGTTGTTTTTATAATAATTGATGTGTTTTTTAGTAATGAAGTTTGTTTTAATGTTTCGATAGGTTTTTGGAGCTTAAATGAATTAATTCACAAAATTCAACGTCGGAATTCAGAACAAAGAATTGAAGAGACATTTAGTTGAAGATTGAAGCAAATCTTGGTTCAAATAAGTGCTCCAAATTTGTCCCAAAAATCAATTCTATTCCAATTCTAGAAAAGAATATCATATGATTTATTTCAAGCCCAAACTTGCCTTATGTTGTGTGCAAACTTCAACCATTAAACACTCAAGGTTTCAATGTCAATCTTAGCCCAAATAATAAGTACATTTGTATACTTATTTGATGCTCAAATTCAGCCCAAAAATCAGCCCCAAATCAGCCCTAAATCAACCCCAAATCAACCTTCAAATCAACCCAAACACAATCCATGATCTTACATGTCCACACAACAAATAACAATTGATTTATTTTGGGCAATCCATTGATCCAAGAAGGCAAGCACATGGATGGAAAGCTGGAGGGGATATTTTAACATTATTTTGGGTCAAAAAGAAGAAGGAGACACCTCATAAATGAGGAAGAAAAACGTGCACCAAAGTAGTTGTAAAGCTGTCTTGATTTGATTTTTCAGAACACCTTTCGGTGTTTTGCCCATAACTTTTGACTCAGGTGTCCAAATGAGCTGTTCTTTAATGATCTGGAAAGGTGACAGAATTGCCTATAAATATGTCTCTAATAGACTTCTCCAAAAAAAGCTTCTAAGAGGGTCGAATTGCTGTCCAAAGTTAGAGTCAGATTTGTGTCCGAATTTTTTCTGAAATTGTATTGTGTTCTTCTTTATAGATTTCGGTTCTTTAGTTTGTAAAACTTATTTTTTCAGTTGGATTCAAGTTCTTTCATGTTTATTGAAGTGTTCTTATATATAATCATGGTTGGCTAAACTCTTTCTTGGATCCAAATCAAGGATAATGGTGATTGAGGTGAGTTCTTTAGGATATGAATGAATCTTAATGTTTATCTTCTTATTTTCTTCATGAATGATTTATTATTGTAAAGAAATTTTAGAAATCATTTAGGTAATGTTATAATCTTGAATTTTTATGCACAAACTTTAGTTTTGGTATAGAGATTGCTTGATTCAATGTCTTACTTAATATGAAAGTACTTGTTCATTCTTAAGCAATAATCAATTTTCATCCTTTTAAATTTCATTGTAATATCTTCTGATCTAATATCACCATCGTTGATATTAGGTTGAGTTATCTTATATATGTTGAAGAAATCACCAATACATCACCATTAAAATTGATTTGGACCAAGACTTACTTTTCTTGTCATTTAAAATCTATTTACATTTTTTTTTTATCTTTGAAAACAAATCCATCAATTATTTTCAACCAAGTTATTGTTAATTTAATTTCTCTTGAGTTTTTTTTTGTTACTTAGCTTAATTTCCAGATCTAGCTCTCTGTGGATATGACCTCGATCTTACCGAGTTAATTGCTACATCGCACACTCGTGCACTTGCGAGTTAAAACAAACCGATCATAAAAAGCGGTCAAGCACTCACTAAGGATCAACAAGAGCTGTATCAGCTGAACCTATATGAAGAAATAAAATATACATTTAAAATCCACTCAAAACTGAATCCTGTATATAAAACAAACTAAACAAGATTGAAAAAAACCTACAACTCTTTAAATGGTCGACCGTTATGAACAAACTGGTCAACTAAAATAAGCCAGTCAACAGTTAATAAAGGAAACAGTTGGCTACACCAAAAAGAGACAACCAATAGACCTACCGAACATAGCCTGACTAGTTAAATGCACATCCTTAATAGTTCAACCGATTGAACAAAACAAACTTGAATTACTACTATTTCTCTAATTGGTTGACTACCCACACCTCAAACAGTCAACTACAAAGTATGTTCAACAAGTGGCTAACATGTTCACTTTAATTGATTGATCGTTTGATTTAAAAATCCAGAATTCTTGACTAGTATTCTCAATTAGATTCTATCAAAACTCAACTACACATCTAACAACATCAAAATAATATTTAATATTCTAAACCATCCAAAAACATATTTCTAACATCCTAAACGTAATATCCATATTCATTTCCATCATAATTATAAAAAAATCATCAAATTGCTCAATTCAACCTACAATCCTAGTATGCCTTCCATTGTTCATAATATGAAATTAAAGACAAAGTTTAAAATGATCTTACCTTGTTATCAACACTCAACGACCCCAAACCAAAATAAAATCCATCAAAAGGAATGATTAATTATTTAGAGTAGAGAAAACTTAAGAGATGTCAGCGTGTTCTTATGTTGTCTTTCATAACAATTATTGCTTGTGTTTTTTTTCTTTTTTGACTAAGGAACCCCTACTTATACCTTAGGGACCATGACTCAACTTTTAGGCTTTGGGCGCTATAGACTTTAAGGCGAAAACTTGCGTCATACAATCACCCTACTGATTCAAAACTATTATAAATTCTATTGAACACAACTCGAATTAAAGGCTGGGCTACTATCCAAAGAAAGTACTTCTATTAACAACCATTTATGAAAGGTGACCCCTACCACAAGTACCGAAACAAGTGCTACCTATTCGGATTGTTTTGCCTTGCAAAAACAAAAAGTTCATCAATCAAGGTTTTCCATAACAATTTATGAAGAATTATTGCTTCATCAGACAAGAGGCGGATAATTCTAATAAACAACAAATGATATAGGCCAAAATAATATCATTCTTGACATAGACTCTTAAGAAAAACATTTAAGAAACGAGTGTTAATGACTAGTAAGGACATCACTATATGGCATGAAACCATCCTCCTTGCTCCTAAAGATGGACTTATCCTCGAGACAATGCCTTAGTTGTAACATAAATTACCTTAAACCATTTGATCCATCGCGTCTTAATTATCTCTTGGGATATTTGGTAGAAGATGTGAATAGTTGATGGGCAATGTAATTCCTACTCATTGTGGGAATATTGTACCCTAGATGTAATATAAGTTATAACCCGTAAGCTGAAAGTTAAAATTTCAACTTTTGATTAATTAAATGAAGAATTTGACTCAATTTTGTAACAAACTAGATCAAAAATCCTTTCTAACTAAACATGTTTATAACTCTCCTTCAAGACAAAAAATCATACCCGACATCATCTGAATTTCTGAGTACTTTTGAAATGGTACTTGCATGTTTTTCGAGGATTGATGTTAGCCAGCTTAAAGGCCTGCTCAAATGCATCTTCAAAAGGTTTGCAGACAACTGGATTTTTTTGAAGTACTCAAACAGGATTAGATTGACAAAGATGTTCAATGATGTCAAGAATTTGGCTTCGGATGTATAGCCGAACTCCAATTTCATCACAAGAATTGATGTCCTCGTAATTAAAGGGATTATTAGGGCCTCAAAGCTTGAACTGCTGAGAACTTTAGCCACATGTGCTTGATCGGCATTTGAGAATATCTATTACATAAAACCCAGAAATCAAAATCATCATCGGAACTAAGAAATCTTACTTTGTAGTTGATTATCTACTTGTATTAAATAAGAAGGCAGCCTTAGCAAAAGACTTCTTAGAACATGGTCAGGCTTTAGCCTCTCGTATGGCAATCTCCCATGAACAAATCTGTAAACATGAAAATGTAAGTAAGATCATTTATATAGCAATAATCCATTGTATGTAAAAGAAAGCTTAAGCTATAAATGAGGAGATTTAACTTGGTACCTGTGGTAGTCATCGCTGTCAAAATCATAACCAATGGCCTAGAAAGAGGACAGAAATCGCAGAACAGCAGCAAATCGGTTGGATTTTGGTAAAAGGTTTGTCAAGATGATTTCATTGTTTTTTCAATGACAACAAGGCCATATATACCTTGAGAACTGCCATGGATGTGCCATAACTCTTGTACAGAACACCATTCATTTGAGAGGCTTTAGTTTCTTCTATACCTACCTCCTGAATCATGTATTCTGGACAAGGATATTTATGCAGAGGTGATTTACTGTATATGCTCTAATTAATCAAGGAAGGAGTAAAGGTTTAGGCATTATATATACCTTGAATATTCTTGGTAACTTCCTCCAACAGCCCCAGAACTTCGAGGATAAAGCTTATCATCAACATCTAAAAACAAGACACATTTCATGTGATGATTTTATTAATACATGGGCTATGGATTATGAACTGTCGAAGACTGTCTGCTTGAATGAGGGTTTCTTAACAAACTTAAAATTCATATTTTTATTATATCGTATATGATATTGAAAAATGATGAGACCCACTAAAGTTGATTAATGGACAAATAATACTTGATCTTGAGTTAACTTAAAAATAAAAAATCATTTTTTATATTAAAAAAATTGACTTAGCTTACCACGTATAGCGAGCCACATATCTGCTACATATCAAAGTTATATTTAATCTATAATATTTACAGCAAAAAGAAACTATTATAAATAACTTGTGCTAATTTTGAATTTTCAATATACTAATTCTACGAACAACCAATAATTCAAGTAAAAAATATATATATTAAAAAATAATATAAATTATATATTAAAATCTCAACTAATAAATTAAATTTTTAACTTTTTAATTAAAATAATTCTTTAATATAATATTCTTTATGACCAAGCGATAACAAGTTTAAATTTTATAATTTTTATTTATTTAATAAAAATTAAATATAAAGTAATATAAATTTATATAAGTTTTTATAAATTTTTTTTATTTAAAAAATATATTAAAAAATAATATAAAGAATATTATACCATGAATGGGGTAAAAGAGATGTTTTAGTGGAAATCAAAGGATCTAAGCTAGTTCAGGTATCTTATCATCTTACAAAAAACAAGAAAAAATAAGAATTTGTTCGTTGAGTGACAGACTATGCACTTGTCTCATTGGGCTCCAAGTCTTTTCCCAGCATAGAAAGTACCCCATTCCTTGGACATAAATTCCTTGGACATACAATTGAATAGAATAGAAAGTACACGAAAATGGCGTCCGAAAGGATCCTTGATTAATTTGACATTTGTTTGTTTTTGAAAGCATCCTTCACATATTAGTCAAAGTTAAATTTTTTTTTAAATTTTAAAAAATTACACCTATTATAATATTATTAAAACTCAAGCAAAATACATTTCAATCCCAATGTTTAAAATTATTAAAAAAAGTATTTTTCTTTATTTTCTAATTAAAATAAAAATAATCCTAATATTTTATAATAAAATACTATTGGTCGTTTAAAGATGCTATAATCCTAGTTGATTATCTTATCTTATATTTTAAAAATACAACTATATAATGTAATCCAACACTATTTATTAGTTGCTTCAAATATTTGTTAGTTGGTAACTAATTACCGAACATTATTTTACATATACAATAGTATGTTTTTTTGCAATTATGATAACTACAACAAATAGTTACAAATATTAGGATTGAATTAAAGAAACATAACATAATATTTAATATTTATTGATAATTTATTTGTATTTACATAATAATTAATATTATTTTATTAAAAAAAACACAAATCTACAACAGAGGAGGAGGAACAACCTCAACTTCATTGGTTTTGAAGTTCGAACTCAAAAAGCCAACTAAAAAAAATCAAACCTTTTTAATTAGTTTGATCAACTTTTAAAATTATTATATTATTATATGTTATTTTCAGAAAAAATATACTTCCATGTAAGTAAATATTAAGTAAATAAAAAAATTAAACTAGGTATATGAATTGCACATGCCATTAAATGAGTGACCCCATACCATTTCAGCAACGTATGTGAGATCATCCAGTGACCAAACACTATTTTTCATAGAAACTTTGAATCATCTCAATATCCTCTTCATGCTTCAGTGACACTTGTGGACAATATCCATGCGGTTTGGTGATAGCAACGATTTTTTTTCTCTTTTTTCCTTGATTTCTGCATTATCATTTCAAAAATTCAAAGTAAGCCTTTGATTTGTTATTTATTCATATTTGATCTTTGTTATTTTGACTATTATTTTTTTATTTGAAATAATTCAAAAAATTAGAATTTATTTTCAATTTCATCCACTTTAATTCTTTCATCTTTCAAATTTAGCCGCTATTCTTTTGATTAATATTTTTTATTTGAAATAATTTTTTAAATTTATTTTTTCTTACAATTTCATCCTCAATTTTGTTTTTCTATTAAATTAGATCCTCATTCTTTTGATTCTTATTTTTCTTCCCTTTGGGATTATTTCTATTGATTTTTTATATTTTATACTTCAACATTAAATTGATTGGCAATTGAGCTTCTTAATAGAATACGGGTCTAGGGTTTTACAACTGACAGTTTTAGAGATTAACTTCTCTAAACTTGGGTTTAAGAAGTTTATTTGATTTTTTTTCTTATTATTTTAAGCTCATGTTTTCTTAGTTCTATTTTTTAATATTTATTCAATTAGAGATTGAGTTTCATTATTTTTATTTATTTCCTTTATGTACAAGCTTTTATTAATTTTGAAAATGACCTAGGTTATCTTAGTCATTTTTATTTGTCGTTCTTTGTTGAATTTTATTCTTGAAATATTAGATTAGTTAGGAATTAAATTTCTTTTTCAGTTCTATCCTTTAACACGATATTTTTTTTTATATATATTAAGATTAATTATTTTCTTCAATTTTTTTTATTTGTTTATCCTAATTTCATCACTTAAACCATGAGATTGAAAGGTTAGCCTAATCCGACTTGAGTATTTTTAAGGATCGTTTTTTAAAAATTTAATATTTCTTATGTTTTATCCTTTAATATTTAGTTGTTTTGGGATTAAGCTTCTAAATCTTTTCTGATTTGATTTCTATTGGATTATCTCATTCACATGATATAAGTCATAGAGTTTGGTTGGCTTGGTTAGTTTGCTATTTTTTTATTCTTTTTTTTTTACAATATCATCCTCTCATGTTTGATTTGTTTGAAACTGAACTTTGGTTTTCTTGTTTTTTTTTTCATGTTGGCTTATCCTGGTCTTATGACTTGTTATGTATATTTTGCATGCTCACTTCAGTTGACTCTTGTTAATTTTTTTAATTTGATTCGTTAGGATCTTAGCTTTATTGCCTATTTTATTTCAGTGATCATTCTTTTTTTTATAGGTTCCTATGATTTTTTTAAATTAGTCTTATAGTTGTTATTACTTGTTCTTTTATTATCTGATTATATTATACTTGAGTAAAAGGAGAACTAAAAATATACATCTATGTGTCAACTGTAGAAGAGAAATGATTGTTATAAAAAAGTTAAGGAGAAGGAGGGTGAAATCGATAATAAATAGTAAAGTTGAAAAGGCTTAGGAAAGTCTAATGGACCAAAGAAGATGATCAACCACATGTGATTGACTAGGATTAAGCGATCCACTATAAGGAAATGATTTTTGATTGACTAGAGTATCTAGGCTTGTGAAAATAGGAATCCCCAACGAGTACATTTAATTAGTCTTACTTAATAGGTTAGGATTTATGTGTTTATTAGGAAAAAAATATTCTTTATTTAAAGTACAATTTGTATTAATATTCTTTTATGTCAATATATGATTAAGTTTAAAAGATTATGTTGGACTATAATATCATGTATTAACATAAATAGGCTCATATAATTACCATAAAAGATATTCAGCCCTATATATGTTATTTCAATTCAATTTATATTTCTTCTCATTTTTTACTTTTTTTATTTAGTGTTTTCTTCATTGTTTTCATTTTTTTCAAGTATCGTTTATTTCTTTTCCTATAATTCTCTTTTCTTCTTTAAATACATGTTTTCTTTCATACATGGTGGTGGATGAAATAAATAAGCTTTTCAATGTTTAAGGAATAGTATCCCCATATTGTTTTTTGATTTTATGAGACTAGTATCTGCCTTGATTTAGGATTCATTTTCTAGTTATATTTTCTTCTTATTAGAAGGAAAAAATAAAGAAAAGTAGCATAATTGTTCGAGAAAGCTATCCGAATCATTAAAATATTAGTATGTTCGGTGGGATAAATTCAATATTTATTCCATTAACTAGCAAATATGTCATCAAAGAAGAACACAAGTAAACATGTTCCTACTATACCTAGCAAATAGTCACTACAAGCAACATATAAGGGATAATTTTTTAATTGAGAGGAATTTGGTATTCATTCATCACCTTAAATTCTTATGGATTAACTAGTGTTAGACATATCATAATAAGTATCTTCAACATATAACTTGCCTTTACAATATAATATTACATCTAGACATACTTTTAGTGTTTTTATAAAGTCATTTACATTTTAACCTCTCCTAATAATTTCTTTATATATTGTTAACAACACTACAAATAAACATGTCAATGTATTCATCCCTCAAACATAATCATATATACATCATTTCTATAAGCCTAATAGCTCTATAAGTGGTCATAATATGCTATGATAAGTATAATCCAAAAATCATAACAACTCTTAAGATGACATTCTTTTATCAGCTTCTAAATCTCTATAAAATTGATATGAGGGCTATCTAGATGGAGATAGAAAAGATAAAAAACATGATATTCGAAACAAAGTATGCATGCCATAACCAATTAATTTAATTAGTTTTAGAATGAATTGTAACAAAGCATATCTAAAGTTCAATAGGCTTATACACTTATGGGATAAGTCTTAGAAAATTCTATGGCCACAAACACATTTGTTACGATGTTTGAAACTAATATGACTTATATGGTAGGATATATGCCAATATATCAGACATAACATGAAAGACCCATCCTGAGACTTATAACCCATGATATATAAATTCCCTCGCATATGTACAGGAAACCATGAGCCAAATATATGGCTTAAAAGCCTTATTATCCTATATAAAAATATAATATTAAGTAGTTTAAT